GTCCAGGACCTCCCAGCTTACAACATGATTTTGGGGACGCCATGGTTACATCAAATGGGAGCCATTCCGTCGACGTATCACCAGGTCGTCAAGTTTCCAACGCCTTGGGGAATAGAGTCCATTCGAGGAGACCAGGTGGTAGCCAAGTCTTGCTATCAGACGGCCATGAAGCCTACAGCAAATCCTCCAACTTCAGCATAGCAACTAAAGGGTGACCCAGCTTTGGAGGAAGATGACGAAAAAACGGAAGAAGTAGTCATCGACAACGAACATCCAGAACGGGTCATCCGCATCGGGACAAATTTGCCAGCAAGCCTCAGAGCTGAGTTGGTCCAGTTTCTTAGACAACATAAAGATGTATTCGCTTGGAGTCACAAAGACATGACGGGAATTGACCTGAAGATCATCACGCACAAGTTAAATGTCAATCCGTCATATAAACCCGTCAGACAACGAAGAAGACGTTTTGCAAGGGAGCGGAATGACATCATAAACCAAGAGGTCGAGGCTCTTCTCCAAACCGGGAAAGCTAGAGAAGTCAGGTATCTAGATTGGCTAGCTAACGTCGTTGTCGTCAAAAAGAAGGCAGCAAAAGGAAAAAAGGCAAAGTGGCGAGTGTGCGTGGACTTCACCGATTTAAACAAAGCATGTCCAAAGGATTCATTCCCCATGCCACACATTGACGTATTGGCCGATGCGACTGCCGGACACGAGATGCTCTCGTTCATGGACGCCTTTAGCGGATACCACCAGATTCAGCTACATTCTGATGATCAAGAAAAGACGGCCTTCATTACTGAAACAGGTACGTATTGCTATGTTGTTATGCCATTTGGTCTAAAAAATGCAGGTGCAACGTTTCAAAGGCTCGTCACCATGATGTTCAAAGATCAAATTGGAAAAACCATGGAGGTATACATAGACGATATGATCGTCAAGTCAAGGAAAGCTGGGGACCACGTTGACAACCTGACGGAATCATTTAAGAAGTTGACGGAATACAACCTGAAGCTCAATCCGGCGAAATGCGCCTTCGGTGTGTCCTCAGGGGAATTCTTGGGCTATATCGTCAGTGAACGTGGAATAGAAGCAAGCCCAGAGCAGGTCCGAGCTATCATTGACATAGAATCACCAAAGTCAGTCAAAGATGTGCAAAGGTTGACAGGTCGAGTTGCTGCTCTGAACCGCTTCATCTCCAAGTCATCTGACAGGTGTCGCCTTTTCTATGACGTACTTCGTAAGAACAAGAAGTTCGAGTGGACAGATCAACACGAGCAGGCACTCCAGCGATTGAAGGAATATATGACAACCCCGCCATTGTTGACAAAACCAAAAGAGGGCGACGAGCTTCAACTGTATTTGGCCGTCTCAGAACATGCTGTCAGCGCCGTGTTAACCAAAGAAGATGACGGAATGCAGACACCGGTATACTATGTAAGTAAGTCATTGAATGGACCCGAAACCAGGTACGCTTTACTTGAAAAACTAGTTTTAGCTTTGATTACTGCATCGGTTAAATTACGTCCATATTTTGAATCACATACTATTTGTGTGCGGACTAACTATCCCATGAAATCAATCATGAGGAAACCAGAGTTGTCAGGTCGCATGGCCAAGTGGTCAATCCAGCTGGGAGCCTATGACATTAGGTACGAGCCACGAACTGCCTTGAAGTCCCAGACGCTTGCTGATTTTGTGGCGGACTTTAGCCCTAAGCTCCAGACCGAAGCCGAAAAAGAAGCATGCATCATCACCGACGGTCTGCCCCAACAAAAGTGGACATTGCACACGGATGGGGCGTCGAACTTAAACGGAGCAGGCCTGGGCGTAGTACTAAAGTCACCACAGGGGAACACTATGCTCCAAGCCGTTCATTGTGATTTTAATGCCACAAATAATGAAGCAGAATATGAGGCATTGATCGTAGGCTTAACTTTGGCAAAGGATTTGGGTGTCAAGCTACTCCAGGTAAAATGTGATTCCTTGTTAATAGTTAACCAAGCTAATGGTGTTTATGCAGCAAAGGATCCCAAGATGACGTCCTACCTGCAAATCGTCACGGAGTTGATAGCATGGTTCGACGAGATCACACTTGAACAAGTACCGAGAGAAGAGAACACACAAGCAGACGCTTTGGCTGCGATTGGGTCATGTCTGGGGGCAGAGGTCAATAGTAACATCCCTTTCGTCCACTTGACAAGTCCGGCAATTGACAGGTTGGAATCCGTCAGCACAATCAGTCCGCCCTCACAGGATGACTGGATGCAGCCATACATAGCATACCTGAGACATAACGTCTTGCCATCGGACAAAAAGGAAGCTAAGGCATTCCTCTCCAAGGTAACTAAATTTTTATTAATCGATGATGTTTTGTTTAAAAGGTCTAAAGCAGGTCCATACCAAAGATGTTTAGCACCTCAAGAAGCCATGAAGGTGCTCAGAGATCTTCATGAAGGCGAATGTGGAAACCATGCTGCGGGGAGGAGTCTGTCCAACAAAGCTCTCCGCTTTGGATACTACTGGCCAACCATGCGGCACGACGCAATCGCCTTCACCCAAAGTTGCCAGGCTTGTCAAAAGCACGGTCCGATCCGTCATCAGCCGTCAGAGTCGCTTCATCCAGTCCTCTCACCCTGGCCTTTTATGAAATGGGGAATGGACATCGTGGGAAAGCTGCCCGAAGCTCCAGGACAGAAGGTTTACATGTTGGCAATGACGGACTATTTCTCAAAATGGGTGGAAGCTGAGCCATTCCGTCAGGTACGTGATGAACAGGTAATATCTTTTATCAGACGTAACATACTTTGCAGGTTTGGCATTCCATCGGAGATCGTGTGTGATAATGGATCCCAGTTCATAAGTGCAAAAACCCGACGCTTCTGCGAAAGGTACAACATCAGGTTGGAAACGTCAACTCCTAGGTACCCACAATCCAATGGACAAGCCGAGTCTAGCAACAAAATCATTGTGTCCAATTTGAAGAAAAGACTCGAGAAAGCACAAGGCAGATGGGCTGACGAGTTACCCCTGATATTATGGGCTGACAGGACGACTCCAAAGAATGCGACCGGACAGACTTCTTTCTCCTTGGTGTATGGCTGTGAGGCGGTCATACCAGCAGAAATTGAAGTGCCATCTTCAAGATACGGGCTTATGACTGAAGAGCGAAACAACGTCGAATTAATACATGATCTTGACACCATCGACGAAATTAGAGAAAAAGCTAAGGTCCGTCTACAGTCCTATCAACAAATGGTGGCAAAGAGTTTTAACAAGAACGTTCGGGCAATGGTGTTCAAGAAAGGAGATTGGGTTTTAAGAAGAGCATTTGGAAATGAAGCAAGTGGAAAATTCAGCCCCAATTGGGAAGGTCCGTATAAGATTATGGACATAGTTGGACAGGGGGCATACAGGCTAGAGTCAATTGAGGGTAAGCAAGTCCCTAGAAGTTGGAATGCGATACACCTTAAACTTTTCCATTTCTAATTTCGTTACATTTTATTCACTTGAAACTGGTTACTAACTTAATCATCGGAGGGCCATTGGCTTAAGGCCAACAGCCATCTGAACTCACCATTTTAAATACAAGAGTTCAAATGTGGTGTCAGGTAAGTTCCGTCAATGTATACGCGTTCTGGTAAGTTCATTTAAATATCAATGACATATTGGGAGTGACGTTTCCGTTCAAGTGTCGTGGTTAATTTGAGTATCGATTTGAAACCTTATCCTATTTTCTCACTTGGTCACTGGCAGAACGGTGAATCTGGGTGAGTAACTTAGGGTAGATTTTGGTCAGTTAAAACCATATTCTTTGCATTATTTCATACATGCTTAACTTAGTTTGAGTTCGATACATTTCTGGAATCTTTCGTGAGAATCATACAGTTGTCATTGTGTTTAGGAAATGTTGCAATATATGTGTCATTGGAAATACATTTATTATTCTAAGTGGGTTCATGATTCTTTTTGCTGACTTGACCGTCGGAGGGCCGTTGGCCTCAAAGCCAACGGCCAGCTTTGACAGTTCCCTTTTTAATGAGTGCAGAAATATATTGAGGCTTAAAGCCAGGAAATCATTGAGACAGCCAAGATGTCAGCCATGTTCAAATTACGCGCTATACATCGACATCAAACGGGAAAGGGCTGGGCTGCCCATGAGAAAATCATGGATAACAGTCCCAGCCGGCCCTTGCAACACATATATGTTTTTTGGCCAAAATCAACACACATACATTACAACACATATGTCTACACATATATGACAGCACTAGTGCGCACACACAAGATAACAAAAGCAGTCACATAAAAGTTTTCACATCATACACAACAGAACAAATGCCAGGCTTTGGATAAACCACCAAGTGCACAGGCTTCAAGTGCCAAGAGTACTTCCCGCCCTGGATAAACCACCAGGATACCGGGAGCAAGATCAGAAGTGTTTAGCAAAAATGTCAAAGAGAACAAAACAACCTAAGCATGCTGGGAGTCAGCCTCGCCATCGGACTGACCCACATCGAAGCCGTCCTCAGCAACTGGAGGGTCTATATCCTCTTGAACCTTTCTCCAGGTTGCAATATCCTCCTCAGCATTCCAGTTGGATGACTCACCTGCGAGAAAGGATGCCATAAGGTCTCCCCTGGTTTGCCAGACATAATAACAAGCTGCGTCAGTGACTTCCTGCTTTTTCTTCCGACCGTAGGCTTCCAGCGCTTTAATCCTGTCGACAAGTCTTGAGATCTGGGCAGATTGAGCTGACACCTCCCTTTGCAAGTCATGGACCAGTTTCGCATTTTCTTCTGCCAAGGTGCGGGCAGTCGACTCTTTGCGCCTAGACTCGTCAAGAGCTTTCTCCAGCAAGACTACTCTCTCTGCAGCCGCTAGACTTGCTTGCATACTCTGATGATTTAATTAATTAAGCTTGAGGAGTCTATTCCAAGAGAAGAGCTAAACAAAAAGGGAGAGGGAAGACTTACCTGAAAGGCATAAACTGACGATGCAGATGATACTCCAGCCGGGGGCAAACACTTGAAGACATCTAAAGAGGAAGGTAGCAGGAGCTTGTGCACTTCACTCCTCATCAAAGACACATCTTGCAGACTACAAAAGTCAGAGGACAGTGATAGAGTTACATCCAGTAACTTGGAACCCGGAGCAGCCTTAGCTTCATGGGGCCGAGGAATGTTGGGTTTGGTCTCGCTGGGCGCAGCAACAGTAGGAATCTTCAAGGGAGTAGAAGCTAATCTGGGTGAGGCTCTTTTCTTCCGGGAAGCTAGGGCAAGCAGTTCATGAGCAGAGGGAACCAGACGAGAGCTAGACGAAGATGCGGCAGCTGCAAACACACAAGCATCATGAAACAAGCACCACATATTGAGAAACCCCAGTCAAAGGGCGTGACTGAGCTTACCAGTAGCTGGAAGGGGACACTTCTTGGGAACCATCTGAGGATTATCACCCACCGGAAAGACGACCTGCATTGGGATATAGATGTCTGCAGTCTCACCAGCACCAGTTTTCGAAGTGTCTGATTCCTGATCTGAGTCGTCAAGGGAGACTACAGACGAGCCTTGCATCAGATTAATTGAAGTCTTCATATTGCGTTTAGAGCGCCTTAACCCGACAGATCTATCAGGAGTGAGAATGGGGGGCATACCTGAAGATTCAGCGACCAGGTTTGCAAACCAACGTTCTTCAACGGGGATAGCTTGAATTTGGGCTGTTCGTTCCTCCGACTTCGGTCCGTGGGGGATGGATATTGTTTTCTTTTATGAAGAATCAGGGGTTGCAATTGATTACCAAATTACAAACACATGCTTTTTAAAAAAAAAAAAACAGGAAACAATAACAAACGAACACAAAAGCAACAGAAGTTTTTGTGGTTTACCTTTGTGCAGGTTATCTTCAAGAAAAGATCCTTCACTGCCAAGCGAGTCTCTGAGAACGAAGAAATACCAGTGCATCCAACCCCTGTCATTCTCCTTGTCAACCTTGTGAATAAGTCTTGGTCTCTTGTCTTTCATTGCCAGCGTGAATCTGCCGGGACCGGAGGTGCGAAGGTCGTAGGTAAAGCCCAAATCCTCAAACTCGAAGGGAATGCTATGCTTCTCGCTCAAGACTTCTAGCGCGCGAAGGATCCTCCACACCTGCGGCATGATTTGGGAAGGAGAGAGGTGGACGAACTCCAAGAAACCCCGGGTCAAGGGAGAAAAGGGAAACTTCATCCCAATTTTGAAGGGATAGTACAGGAAATTGACCCACCCGGGGCAAAACCAGTCCATGCGCTCGTTCGCTGCAGGGAAGCGGATGACGGCGGTGGGAGGAAAGCCGGCGGATGTCTGGATGAGTTCGACTTGTTCTTCGGTAAGCTTCGCTTGTTTGGCGCTCATTGGTTCAAGAATATGTTGTGGGATGAACACTTGGGAAGCCATGGAAGCCGAAGGAAACAAAGAAGATGGAGTGATTCGTGTTAGGAACGAGGATTTTGAATTGCAAGTAATGATGGCACCGGTTGAGTATACAAGTAGGAGTCTTTACAAAATCCGAGACGAATTAATTCGAAGGGAAAGTTGTCTGGGATGGCGTCAACTGTTCCTCCGAATTGGGGGCAATTGTTGGGCCGCTAATTGCGTTACGGGTTGCCGGCCCATCTTGCAAGAATTTGTAAAGAGACCCAGCGAAGGAAGAAGACTCCAGCCCGGCAAAGTCAAGGGCTAATGGACCGTTGCTGAAAAGAGGAGATAAGCACGATGATTCAAAACTTGGAGCAGAAGACTAGCTAAGCACGTTCACCAACTCCTGCTATTTCGGTGGGCAGTTGGTTAGTAGATCGGATAGGAAAAGCCCTTATTTAAATGGGGTACATTGGAAACGGGAGGATTAACTTCGGATCACCAATTCTACTCATATTTTCCTTTACTTGAATATTACCAGAGCTATCTATTCTTCATTGTTAAACAGTTTTAGTTTCAAAGTTCTAGCATATTTCCTGTGTAATTTCTTGTGCGAAGCCTGATTCTTCATTTCTTAATTGTTTGGAGAAATTGTTAGTTTCTTGCCTAAACAGTGACCCTGTTTTTCGGCCTATCACGCGCGCTGAATTGTGTAATAATAAGAAAAGTAAGATTGAAGTTAGTATTTTTGTTGTATTGGCTGCAGTTGCTGTAGAAGATCATTTAGCTATTTTCATATAAATTTTTGTTTATTTAATTAATAAAATGTATTTTTAACATAATTTTTCATAAAACAATAGAATGCTCTAATCCAGCCACTTTAGCCAGAACTTCACAAATTTCAACAAAATCTGTGAATGCAGCCAATTTAGGTATCACCAAACGGGCTAATAATTTACAGATTAATAATGACGAAAATTGTGGTATTCACTATAACAACAACAACAACAATTGATCATAATAATTATATTATTATTATTATTATTATTAATATTAATATTATTATTATTATGTTCTTATATTAAGAGTCCTTAATTTCTTATTGCATTTTAGTTTAAAAGTGAAACGCAATTGAACAGTTTGAAATAAAGTCGGACTGTTAAACCTTAGGCATGCATGAATTAGGACCGATAATATGTAAACGTAACCTATAAATATAGTCATTAAACCCTTAACTCACGATCAACTCATAATTACGTATTTCACTATTGCCTGCCACGTCCAAGCTAGGTACCAACGCTTTCTTCTGCGCGCTTACAAGTTTTTGCATGTATTCCATTATTATTATTTACTATTCCAACATACTACAAAAAATATGAGATTGATCGACATATTTGGTAGAGATTCGCCAAAATTTAAGGAGGAATTGATAGGGATTTGTCAAATTTGTACCAAAATCACTTTGGCATCAACTATTTTGCATGAAATCGTCAACCAATTGTATCAAATTCGTGTCAATCCTGTAATATTTTGTAGTGACAAACTGGACAATAAGCTATTATTGATTTCATTACCCGACTATATACAAGGAGGATATGATTAATTACAGGATTAACAGCTATAACATGACAGTTAAACTAATGCAAAGTGGAACTTAATTAGGTTGTTCTTATTGATAATTGACATGTGGAAGATGGTGAGCAAGATAGGATCGAATGTTCAGTGCCGGGATTTCCTCGCTTTCTTGATGTTCTTTTTTGCTTCTGTTTACGCAATTAGGTATGTAATTATTGTTTAACACAAATTTGATATTATATTCTTGATACTTATTTAATCTTTTCTTAGGCTATTCGTTGAATCTTATGCATCACAACGATGCATGCATGTACATACTATATGTTGTTATGTATTTACGTTTGTACATTATATTATTGATCGAATGTTAATTTGTTTAGTTGATAATCAAAATAACTTTGGGAAATTGTCCAAAATATGAGTAAATAGGTTTTGAAATTCCAAAATAAGATTGTTATGTTTTTCTTACCGAAAAATGAATTATTAATGTCATGATTGAAAAATATTATTATTAATAACAGTAAATATTGTCATGTTAAAGATGACAGTAAATACTGTTATATTACTCCTATTTTGAAAAAAACACATAGCTGTACTACTTTGAAATTTCAAAACTTGTTTACTCTTATTTCAAGAAATTTCTCTTTAACTGTAATTAAATACTTTGAGAAGAGCGTGCTATTTTACTTGAACATTATTAGATTCAATATGAGATTCCTTAATTTGATTTAGTTCGTTATTACCTATTTTCTTATGTCAAATAACGTGCGAAAAGAAAGTGGAAGTTTTTAATTGATTAGGTTGATTTCATTCTACTTCTGACTATTGGTCGGACCAAACACATCAATTGTTGCCTTTTCAATTCACCCATGTTTGGAATTTGGATCGGATATATGTAATGGAAATTCGTTAAGTGAAAATAGTATTTATTTTATAAGAGATCTAAGAATTATATATGTCACAATTCATGTTGCCAAAATTATGTTAACAAATTGTTACCAAATAAAGTGAAAACCGCAGCTTTTATAGGGTATTTCATTCTTGTGATACTCGATTATATTTTACTCATATTGGTCGATTGCTTTATGCTATGATATGATCTTGCGACCTGTTGCCTAAATTATTTATCAGAAGTCTTGCAAAATGTCCTAAATTTTTCGGACTCCTAAATTTTCTTGTGAATTGAATTTAATTTTAGGCATAGATTATATTTTACGCAAAATCCTTATGAAAGAAAAACAATAATGCCAAGAGCATTTTTCTTAGGCGGGACTTAAACATAGATACAGTATATAAATAGGATTGACGTTATTTTCTTCCTAAAATATGACTTATTCACTTATAATTAGGAAGTTTTATGATTTTAATATAATCAAATAGTCCATATTTTGAGAGTAAATCATAAATATTCCTATTTAGAGCAATTTCTTGAGAAAAGATCAAGCTAAAAAATTATCATTGTTTATGTTGTGGAAACCTACAAATGCTACAATTGTTTATTTATGGTGTACGTTCTTGGTTGAGAATTTAGGTGGTATTATTAATTGAACTAGTTTCAGTCACATACCTGCAGAACTAAATAGGTTAGACCAATTCGTATGGGGTTAGATCATACTTAAACATTCCAAATCAATTCATATCAGATTAGATTAAACTTAAACAGACCAGACTAGTTTAGACCATGTTAGAATAGATTAGACTTCGACAGTTATAAAATACATACGTATAAGACATCTATCAAAGTATACCATTTCAGACCGGTCAAACCAAATCGTGCTTAAACACAAGGCTAGACTAGAAAATTACCGTCTATAATATCCTCAACATACTCGACCATTATGTATTCTTATTATTATTTAATAAAAAACGTAACAAATCAAATATATGTAGCATACTATCATTTACAAAAATTTAATCATTTTTTGTTTTCTCCCTTAATTAGCCAGTGCAAAACTTACAATAGTCTTTTTGTTATTTAATTAATTATATTTCCATGTGAATTGCATGCAGGTCAATTCCAACCAACGGCACTGAAGATTTAAAATCATCTACTCCATTGAGACTTGACATTACCGATACACATGTAAATTAAATTATGTGAACTTATAAATGAGTACAATTTTATAATGTTTAAACTTAATGTTTAAACATTATCTAATGAAAATTAGTTTGTCTTATATGTTTTATTATATATAGGTGGTGATGGACAATGGTTTTATCAAAGTGACACTATCGAATCCAACTGGGGCAATTGCAGAGATTCAGTATCAAGGAATCGATAATGTACTCGAATATAGTTTCAAAGAAACAAATAGAGGGTATAGTATTATGTACTGCTATCATTTATTTGTAATAGTAATGTACTAATGTAGCTACTCCACCATAATATATTTAAGGATCAACAAACCCTTCAAAGGCACTTATTATTTTCTATGCAGATATTGGGATATTGTTTGGACCAGGCCAGGGATAGATGACAATGGAAACTTTGATACGTAAGTCTTCTAATTTCATCAGTTTATTATATTACGAACAGGGCGGAGGTAGGGGTACGTTCATGTTAGGCCCTGGCAGGCAGGCCTACCAAGCTCTTTGTACCGGCTCAATCAAACTTAGGACATGTTTACTTCACCGGTTAGTAAAAGGTGCTTATTAAGACCCGTGTTAATAAGCGGTGCATAAAATAAGCAATGTTATAAAATCGTGTTTACTTCATAGGGTTTAAAACACCGTTTAACATTAAAATGTCCAAAATAACCCTATAGATATATAGACACACAAACATTCATGAACACAAGTATATATATAATATATGTGGGTTCACCTCGTACCTATACCCCCCGTACCCCCCTACCCTTACCCCTGCCCTACACCCTACACCCAATTCCACACCACCCTTGACCCCTACCCTATAGGGCGTGGGTGGGGGGTAGGATGGCGGTAGGGTGGGGTCAGAATCGGGGTGAGGCTGAGGTGTGGTGGGGGTATGGTAGGGGGTGGTGGGGTAGGTGGTGGGGTGGGGCAAAGGTAGGGGCAAGTGGTATGGAATGGGGTAGGGTCGTGGTTAGGGGTAAGGGATGGTGGGCAGGGTGGGGTAAGGGGTAGGGGGTAGGGTGGGGTCGGGGTCGGGTGGGGTAGGGTAGGATGGGTAGAGGTAAGGGTAGATGGTGATAGGGTGGGGTCGGGATCAGGGTGGTGCCGAGGTAGGGGGTAGGGTAGGTGGGTCGGGGTTAGAGTAAGGTAGGGTGGGGTCGGGGTAAGGTAGGGTAAGGTTTGTAGGATGGCAGTAGGGTGGGGCCGGGATTGGGGTGGGTCGGGGTTAGAGTAAGGTAGGGTGGGGTCGGGGTAAGGTAGGGTAAGGTTTGTAGGATGGCGGTAGGGTGGGGCCGGGATTGGGGTGGGCCGAGGTAGATGGCGATAGGGGTGGGGCCGAGGTAGGGGTAGGGTAGGGTAGGTAGGTCGGGTGGGGGTAGGGTAGGGTAGAGGTAAGGGGTGAGGTACGATGATGGAGGTAGTGGGTAGGGTGGGGTCAGGATGGAGGTAGGTGGTAGGTAGTTGGGCGGGGTGGGGGGTAGCAGGATAACAATATGTTAAGGGCAAGGGGTCAATTCGGAAACTGAAAAAGTTTAAAGTGCTGCTTAATTAATACTCCGTACATGGGAGTGGTATGCTTAGTAAGCAGCTTTTTAAGCAACGTGCATGTTTACTTCACCTGTCTTACTAACCTAACTGTGACTTTAGCAGCGAAGTAAATGTCATCTTAGTGTCTTGACTACGCCCTTGCATCAAACTGTCTTCTAAAACAATCTACTAATCAATTGTTATTATTATTGTTACCATGAAGGCTTCAAGGAACACACTTTAGAGTAATCACATCTGATGAAAATCAAATTGAAGTCTCCTTCACAAAAGATTATGATCGAGAAGATCCTTCTTCTGTTCCTTTGAATATAGATAAAAGGTAAATACAAGTTACAAATTTCATGTCATTAAAGTTCAAATAAAATAAATATGGAATTTATGTGATGAATTTGGTGATATGAAACGGGAAAAGAATATACTACGTACGATTTTATGTATTGTAGGTACGTAATGTTACCCGGAAGATCTGGTTTCTACACATATGCAATCTATCAGCATATTGAAGGGTGGCCTGATGTTGATATAGGCCAAACTCGGCTAGCTATCAAGCTTCAAAGAGCACTGTAAGCTACACTATTAGAAGCAAATTTTATTTTTAGGGTACATAACAATTGTATTAATTACTACATATTATTTACATCATTCTAAATATTTTTTTAAAATATAGGTTCAACTATATGGCCATATCAGATGAGATACAAAGAGAGATGCCAAGTGATAATGATCGGTCTAGTGGAAGGACTCTTGATTATAAAGAAGCAGTCTTACTAACCAACCCATCCAATCCTAATATGAGGGGAGAGGTAGGTTTTTAATTTAAAACTTAATTATATATGATATGATTTCCTTTATGATATTTATGCATTTAATTTAATTATATTAAAATATGTATTTTATATTGATCTAGGTGGACGATAAGTACCAGTACTCCCTAGAAAACAAAGATATTAAAGTACATGGGTGGATTTGTCGGAGCCCACATGTTGGATTTTGGATCATCACCGGGGCCAATGAGTTTCGTGGTGGAGGACCAATTAGACAAGATCTTACGTCTCATGTCGGTCCGACTGCATTATCGGTAAGCCCCCCCCCCCCCCCCCCTCCCACATTAATATTACTTTAACCACATATTTATTACGTGGTACTTTAAATGGAAATGAAAAAGGTTTTGGAACGACTAAATTAGAAAAGTTGGTAAAATTTTGTGGGACAAAAGTAGTTCCTAAGCACAAATTTTTGAATTGGAACCTTTGATTATTATATATATTGTCTTATCTTTATTTCTTGATCAGATGTTTTTCAGTGGTCATTATGCTGGTTACAATTATGATGTTAGCTTGAGAAATGGCGAAGCTTGGAAGAAAGTATTTGGCCCAGTTTTTATTTATCTCAACTCTGATCAAGGGGATGATCCAAAACCTCTATGGGAAAATGCTAAAGATGAGGTAACTTAATTAACGTAATCTTTATTTGTTTGATAATTTACTTCAACTTTTTTATGGAATAACCATTATAATTATTGGTAGGGGTGGGTCGAAGAAATCGAAAACCGAAAACTGAATCGAAAAAATCCGAACCGCAAGAAAACCGAAACTGAACTCAAAAAACCGAAAAAACCGAACTGAACCGTAGTTGTTTGGTTTCGGTTTTGGTTTTCACATCTCAAAACCGAACCGAATAAACCGAACTTTTTAAAAGTTGTTATTTTATTTATTAATCATTGAGTATAATATTTGTTTAGTTCTTAATTCTTAATTCTAGAAAATTATTGTTTGATACTAGATTTATTATGATTTGCAAGATATTGACATTTAATATCTATTGCTTAATTTAGTGAAACACTTGTACATAAACTTAAGTTTATCACTATAATACTAATATTATAAGACTAATATGTTAATATTTTAAATCGTAATTTCCATTTTGCTTGTTGTTGCATGACAATGATACTTTGTTGATATATTATATTTTTATATGTTATGCATGTTTTTTATCACATACTAGTAATTTTTTATATTGAACAAGTATGTATTAATATAAACTATACTTTAAACAAATAGCACAAAATGTGAAACTTTAGAGCATAAATATATTTGGCTAAAAAAAGTAGATTAAATAATTAACTAATAAAACTTTAACTTGTGAATACTGTGTATATAGTTCACAAATAAACTCATGCGTTTAATTAATTTAGAAAATGTTTAAATTGGTATACACATACTCTCTAATTCATTGTTTGGAAGTGCATTTGTTTCTTCTCTCTTTTTTAATTATGTATATTATAGTATTGTATTACTATTAATAAAAGTTTGGGGTAGTTTATTTTTTTGCTTTCATTTTCCAATTACTATTTTTCTAATCAACAAAAATACTTTGGTAAAAACCGAAAAAAACAAAACCGAACCGAACTACCCGTGGTTCCAAATTTTTGAACAAAAAACCGAACCGAACCAAATTTTTTACTTTGGTTCGACATTTGGTTTTAGGTGAAATTGAACCGTTTGAACCGAACCCACCCCTAATTATTGGGTAACAATAAGGAAATTACTAATGCAATATTTTGTCTTGATTTATCACTAGATGGTTGCGGAAACTAAAAGTTGGCCTTACACTTTCCCAAAATCAGAGGACTATCCAACTGCTAGTCAACGAGGCACAGTTACTGGTCGATTACTAATTCGTGATAGGTGATTTATTATTATTATTATTATTATTATTTTGATTATTTCTGGCCATTTATTGTATATTTTCATTAAAAAAAATGAGTGAACTAATTATGAGTGCTCATTTTAGATATTTGAGTGAAGACCTTATCCCAGCAAAATCCGCATACATCGGTTTGGCTCCACCGGGGAGTGATGGGCATTGGCAAGAAGATGCTAAGGTTTGAAGAAATCTTTGTATCCGAATTTTTTAAATTAGATTGATTTAAATCATCATACTTTAACACTAATTTTTTGTCTTGCAATTGTTGTTATTGTGTAGGGTTATCAGTTTTGGACTCAAACAGATGACAATGGGTATTTCAGGATTACTGCAGTAAGACCTGGAAACTATAACTTGTATGGTTGGGCCCCTGGCATTTTGGGAGATTACAAAAACAAAGATGATGTCACAATCCGACCAGGAGAAGAAACAAGTCTCGGTGAGATTGAGTTTGATCCTCCCAGAAATGGTCCGACTATATGGGAAATCGGCGTCCCCGATAGAAAGGCGGCAGAATTCTTTGTGCCTGATCCTGCACCAGAGCTCATGAACTACGCTTTGATCAACCATACTGAAAAGTAAGATCCTCTAGTTATTCTTTTACAAATTAAATTGTGTGAAATGTATTCTGAAACTGTTGTGTATAAAACTTACAGATTTAGGCAATATGGACTATGGGATCGTTACACCGATCTTTACCCTTCCCAGGATTTGGTTTATCGAGTTGGAGAAAGTGATTATCGCAAAGATTGGTTTTTTGCCCATGTCAATAGGTATGGTCTTTTTCTGTAAACACTTTTCTGGGTACTTGAAAGGGAAAAAAAATCTGCTTGGCTAACTTTTTCTCCATCATATAATGCAGGAAAGTCGGGGACAATACGTATGAACCAACGACATGGAGAATTTCATTCCCAGTCCAGAATGTTAACCAGACAGCAACCTACACACTCCGGATTGCATTAGCTGCCACCACCTTAACCAGAATTGATGTAAGTCTTATTGCCACTTCAGCTTTGACATGTATTGTTTCATGAACTGCCATTTACAATTGTCTCAAGAAACATTCCTAGTGTTATATGTATTGTTCAATATCATCAAATAGTCATATGACATGCAATTCTTTTTCATGTACTCCTAGGTTTTGATCAACGACCCTAATGCACACCCTAGATTCTCAACCGATGGAGGTGGAAGGGACAACGCAATTGCCCGACACGGAATCCATGGAGTGTACACGCTTTCCAGCTTTGAGTTCCCAGGAACTGAACTTCAAAACGGAGAAAACACAATATATTTGAGGCAGTCAAGAGGAGGGAATCGGTTTAACGGAGTCATGTATGACTACCTCCGTTTGGAAGGACCAAACTTCTGAGATTTTATATATATTACAGTTATATGAATTCTGTGTAGATGGTAGATAGATAGATAGATAGATAGATATAGATATAAACATTTACCTTAGTACGTATTATCTTCATTCTGCAGCTATTTAATCGCCCATAAGGGGCATTTTTGTCTTAAACCATTTGTTTCTTATTTTCTATTCGACCAGAAAAATCATCTGACTTCCTCATGAGGAAGAATACCTCCAAAGATGAAGAGAAGACATTAAACAAACATGAGAGTACTAAAACCAAAGGAATAATCAAGGGAGATTTTTGTCCTTTCAATCAAACAGGGTATAATAGTATAGAAGCCAAACAAGTTTTTAACTATAAACATCACCATGCATGTAATATCAGAATTGCCTTGATACAAGAAAACACCCCACTGAAAAAAGTCCAAACAGAACGAAAAACTGGGTGTAAAATTACAACAAAAGACATAAGAACTCTCTTATTGGGAAAAAAAAGGTTAGCCCAAGGAAAACATCTACCAAGTAAAAAAACTACAGAAAGCGAGACATGTGTTAGAAACTCACTCATATAAACCGCCTTCTGAAGTTCCTAGCAGTGGAGTGGTAACTGCGGACAAGTAACCCAACCCCAATGCCAACTCCAACACATATTCCAAGGCCAATTCCAACTCCTACTCTCACCCCTGCATTAAACCAAGACAGTTCCCCGTCTTCTCCATCCAAATATTCTGGTGAGTGTCGCCAGTATGCATTGTTGTAGTCCTCTTCACTTTCTGGTTTATAACGTCTGTCGTATTCACTTACCTGCCCAAATAAATGAAGAAGTATCGGAGGATTTGTCAAGACTAGTTACACCTAACATTTCTTGTGGATAAATGATTTCATAGACCACAACACATCTGGTTTGCTCAAAAATGAGATTTAGTAAAAAGATGTCCAACGAGCCAAAATGGAAAAGTTTGTATACCATAAAAGGTAAAATTTAGTGGGACGGAAGGAGTATTCTCATAAGAAACAGTTGTTTAAGGGGTTGTTTGGTTCAAGGAATTTGGAGGAGACAAGTGATATTTATATGGAAATAAAGACAAATTGATAAATAATTAAAAAATCATCTATCCCCTTCCCTTTCCTCCAAAGTCCAAAAGCAAACAAGCCATAAGGTTCTACACATATATGGAGGAAGTCATACTTTTTTCTAAGATCAAGCAAGACAAAAGATGCTTTAAGCCTATTATGTTTAACTAATGCCTGTCATTAATTAATAAATGAAAGTAGTATAAACTTGTGTGGCCAGGACCCCTAAAAATCTGAACTTGGGGTGAGCTGTGTGTAACTATAATAACCCTCATTAATAAATAAATTATAGTAGTATAAACTTGTGTGTAGCCAGGACCTCTAAAAATCTGAATTTGGGGTGAGCCTGGACCCGGGTTGGCCACCCAATCCACCCATATCTACGCCGTTGACCATAAAGGTTTTTTAAAGATGGAGGACAACTGTGCAAAATCAGATGTTCTCTTGGTTCAAGAGTGAGTTCTTTGGTTGACAAATATTTTTTGTCTAAAGCTTCAAATATTATTTTGGAACAGAGGAGATAAATATATAGCATACAAGGAGTTTTCCCAGTCCAGTGGTCTTCCCCTTCGTCATTCCCCACCTGGGATTCACCTCCGCCAGTAACACTTAAGATAAAACATTATGATAAAAATGAAAAAATAACGGATTTAAAGGGGGGAAGTTGTAACATGTATAACATATATCTTGAGTCACATAAAAGTGATTCCAAGCAAAAAATGTACTGCTTTTATCTAATGAATTCTGTGGGGGGTATTTCCATCATTTGCAATGGAGCCAAAGATTCATTATTTTTTGGCTTGAGAATATGATGGAATAAAGCAAAATGGCTCATTAAACTGTCTGCGCTTCTTTGTTATGAACCAGCAGTCAGTCCATGCAATTTTGGACGCGACTTTCACTATGGGTCATCCGGACACAGTCTCTCTGTGCTTTAGTACAGGGGTAAGACTGCGTACATCCGACCCCCCCCTTACCCCACCGTAGGTGGGAGCCTTTGCGGCGCTGGGGTAAATGAAAATGATGAAATGAAATGATGATTCTGTGGGGGATGAAAATTGAAAAGGGAAAATCGTACAAGCATTTACCATTTTAATGGAAGAAAATGTTATTACATATCAATGTAATATATCCATCATTTGCAATGGAGCCAAAGATTTACTATTTTTTGGCTTGTGAATATGATGGAATAAAGCAAAATGGCTCACTAAACTATCTGCGCTTCTTTGTTATGAAGCAGGTGACTCATGCAATTTCTTACGCGATTTACACCATAGGTCATCCAAGAAACAGTCTCTATATGCTTTCGTACATGGGTAAGACTGCGTACATCCGACCCCCCTTACCCCACTATAGGTGGGAGCCATGCGGCACTGGGGTAATGATGATGATGATGACCACCACGCAAAGGCCCAAACCCCAGGAAAAACAATGCTAAAAGCTGAAGTTAAGAAAATCAGAATGGCAAGATAAGGACGTGTTCAGTTCAACTTATTTCACTAGGAGAACAGATCTTATCAAGTTAGACTAGACTAGATCTAATCAGATCAAAGAAGGGACCAGCCATAAACACACATACAAAAAAAAAACTGTTCATATGAGCAAGTTGTAAGAAAACGAAGAATACAATCATGGTTGTCATGGTGTATTGCGATGAGTCATTTTGCAATGGTGATGGTGTTTTAACTGGTATCCGCTAAACGACCTAAATAAAATATACTCCATAATATCTAAATGTAAGTGTTCATGATTCAACAACCAACAAGGGACCTAAAATATTCAAATATTCAAACCCTGAACTACTTAAGCAAAAGACATGTTCAAATAGTCCAAAATATTTTATCCAAAATGAAAATTCAATGAATTCTAATATAAAATAGAGAAGGTTAAACTGAACTATAGGAATTACAACTTGATTATAAATCTGATCATCTACATCCAATCTCTATGAAGGAACAAAACAATATTCTCACAAGATAAGCAGCCAAAAACTTCATATGTTTGTTTGTTAATTACGGAGTAATACGTGTAGGAAGTGGGTGGCTTAACGCCTATGTTACTATGTTAGTAAGAGTACAGCATGCCAAGGGATTTTGACTCAAAAACTAAACAAGATGAAATTATCAAACAAGCTCACTTGAAGTAGAAACATGGACAATATAGAATATAATACCTGGATATGATCGAGTCCTGAAGAAGAGATATCATCTCTTTGTGCACCATACATTCCATTTTCTGGAATGGAGCCTAACATCCCATTCCTATGATGCTTCTTCCTGTTATTATTACAAAGCTGCAAACTTTTGGTTAAGATGATAGGTGTCCCAGAGAAACACCCAGCCACATAAACTTCAATTGTTGTTGGAGGCGGCGAATCACAACCATTGATCTGTTTTCCTTTAAAAAATCCACACCCTAAATCCACTGCAGCTTCACAACTCATTTTCCATTTCCTCATGCTATTCTTTGATTCTCCACCATTTACCTCCAAAACCCCAAAAAGCAAAAGATCATTATCTCCATCAAAAACCTCAAATTTCACACTCCCGGTCAACCTCACACTGTCTGTGCTCACAAATGTAGCTTCTTCGGATTTCTTGTCCACACGGTCCCTTCTCAAAATGCAAGATCCTCCTTCCGGGAGCATTGAACTGTAATTTGAGCACCACCTGGCACCGTTAACTTCAAGGAGTGTATCTGGGCTTAGAGGTATATGTCTGACCGTTAGACTCTCGGGAGTTCTTGAATCATCTACCATGAAATTGCTGAATCTGATATAGAAAACTCTAATATCGAGCCAAGAAAGAGATTGCTTGTTGCAGGTTTGGTACAATGGGTGCTTGATGATCTGGAGACCTGAAGAATCACCCAATCCTCCATTGGTTGTCACTGATTCATGAGAAGAAATCTCCATCTTCGGCAGTCTTAATCAATTATCTCTGGCCTTCATGTGCACCCTGTTCAAATCAGCATCTTTATTCATCAATTATGCAAAAAAAAAAAAAAAACCGAAATTGCAGGAAATCATTCTATCTCAGGAAATTTTCAGACAGGTTGCTGACCAAAACATAACCTATCAATTTTTTCGTTTGGTAAAATGAGCACCAGTTCAACTAGGAGAATCTCGTGAATACAAGAATACTGTCTGATCCACAGGGCGAAGATATAATTGCATTTCCTCCCTTAAATCCACAACAAAACGATGATTGGGTGAAACAGGCTAAATTACAGAAGGAGATGGAGAACCGAATTGAAGTAATTAGGGATAACTTAGGGGTGATAACAAAAGCAACCCACAGATAATATTATAAACAGACACCCCAAACAAAATCAAAGATTAAATCTTTTTATATCTTCGGATAAAATCAAAGATTGAATCTTTTTATCTCTTCGGATTCAGATTTCAGAAGCGAGCAGACTAGTATGAACGTGAAATGTAACCTCAGTTTTGGAAAGAACCAAGAAGAACGCTCGGATATTATAAAGGAATTGTCAACAAACAAATGAGACAAGTGCAGGTCACCGATTTCGACACGTTTCCAAAACAAAATGAGAACCAAAAAACTATAGCGAGAGATAAAGTAAGAAAAGAAAACGTATGATGTCCTGGAGCTGAATGCATGAACTTACCCAGGGAAATATGAAATATTATAAAATAAAACATATGTATATCCGCAGGCCAGTGAACAGTGGAATCTCTTTATGATCTATGACTACTGAAAGTTCAAATCGCTTTCA